AATAAAATTATTATTACATTAATAATTTTGAGTTTGTCTTTTTATGTTTTTCATGGAATATATGTATCATTTGTACTTGTCGGTGAATTTTATTTTTTTTTGCTTAAAAAACTAGAAAAAGAGCAGATAAAAAATTTTAGTGTTATTTTGCTCCCATTAAGATTTTTTTTTGGCTCTGCCACTGGTAATAACAACATCTTAAGATAAGAGAAAAGAGTTTTCTTTTGTTAAACTTCGAAAGCTATTATTTTTTAGTAGCGGATGATGAAAATTTCTTGTTGATTATAGCTAATAATAGACTAGAAAGTGAAAAGAATGAGTTGGATCATGCATACAGTAAAAAAAAAAAGTAATTTGGCTTATTTTATCTTGTTTTTGGTGAGAAATAGTTAAGGGGCATGTTAAATTACAAAATCTTCTCTCTTCTGAAATCATTTTTTATTGTGTCTCTTTCTAAATTGAGTTGAATGGTTACAAGAAAATTAGAGTTTCAAGGAAGTTAATAATATTTTTAAAATATTAAAAACCTCAAGCGAGAAGTCTGAAATTAATAGTCCAAAATTTTGGATCCCCGCATTTTGAAGTGGGTTTTCTCTGGATAAGTTGCAGACTTCGAGTGGTTGAATTTTCCCCAAGTTCACAATTTCAATGGCTGGAAAGTGGAAACAACTCATTGCGGTGATTTTACTGTTTTAAAAGTGAAAAAATCACAATAAAATTTTTGCAATGCTTTTAAGAACGGACATTTTTGTGAACACTATAGCAGAAGTTGTTCTAACGATTAGATTCATAATTTTTTTTTTATAAAACAATTCAAATTTCATTAAATATTAAAATCTACACTAGTAACAGAAATCATGTCTAACAACAAACATATGCATGTAAAACAAATATGAATAATAATAGATACTCCAAATCTAAAAATTTAATAAAGATTTTCACTGTAAAGTTCCAAATATATTTAAACATCAAAGAGAAAACTATAGTACCAAGAACATCTACGAATGTTTCCTACTATCAAATCTGCTAGTTAACTACTTCAACCTCAGAAGTAATGAAGAGAATAATTACATTATCCCCCTTTAACCATAACTAGTCTCTAATAATTAATAGAGATAATTTCAGATACCTCCCCGAGGTTTCTGACAATTTCATTGAGCTCCCCTGAGTTTTGAAAAATTACACCTACTTCCCTTGATTTGATAGTATTAGTAACAAAACCTTAAAATAATATTTACTTGATCAAATTTTTAAATGAATACCCAAATATGCGCTTGTGTAATGAGTTTTAATTTATTTTTTTATACAATTATAAGATTATCTAATATAATTATAAGGAAAAGGTAACAAATTTTTCATGTCCATACCTACTATTTGATAAACAACTATAATAATAATTTTATCACTATGATAGGATACTTTTGATGGTATTCTATTATGGATTTAGATTTATAAGATAGAAAAGAAAATGTTGTTATAATTCATTTAGAGTTTATGAATTTTTTGAGTAATGGGATAATCATAATTTTGTAGTAGTTTTGGACCATTTCTTTTTGATTTATTGTTCATTTTAATACCAAAAAATTAGAAAAAAAATCAGTAAAAACATTGGATTACATATAAGTTAACTCATCAAAAAAATTACTAATTTGACATTTGGTTACAGTGGAAACTAGAGGGAATAGTCGTAGTTCTACAGTTTTATTGGCAAAAAAATTAAAAAAAATGAATAAGAAGGAAAAAGAATGAAAAACTAATTTTAAAAGTAATTCTAAGTATAAGCATACCAAACAAGGAAATGTCATTAAAACATTTAAGGTAGTATTATCATTTTAAATGAAAAAGAAAATATATGTAATTTTCAAAAGCTAAATGAAATTGTTTAAAACCTCAAGGTTTGAAATTATCCCTAATTAATCCTAACAAGTAACAACTACAGATGCGGTGCATCACCAGAGGCTCTCAGCAATTGTTAATTGTGATTTTATCAATTTAAAAATAGGATTCAATATGACAATAGGGCGGATATCCATGACCAATAAGGTCGGGGGAGACCTTTCTCCTACTGCTTTAAATGGGTTGGGAGGACGGGAAAAATACCCCTATCCCGCTCCCTGCTAGTAATTTAATATTATATATTTAGATATGTAGAACGTAAAAATATACAATACAATAAAACTATATGTATGTAATATTAAAATCAATAATATGATTTTTCTTGTAATAAATTAATGCAATATTTCTAGTTAATTTATTGTCATTAACCAATAATTTTGTTACGTTAGTTTATTTTTTCTATTTTGATGCTGTTTATAGATATATAAAAAAGTACGATAATTGATTGATTTTATATAAAATCAGATATAGAGAAATAAATTCAAAAGATCAAAATAATTTTTAAACTTTATTTCATGTTGAATTTTGGAGCAAAAAATGTAGAACAATTATTAGCAAGTTCATTATTAGTAGGGTGCGAGATAGGGACACCCCGGAGCTAGTAGGGTGCAAGGGGGAGAGATAGTGGGCATGGGGAGGGGGCTAGGGAGTTTTTTGGAGAACGGATCAGTTAAGGGTACTCCTCCCATTTCAAATTTGCTCCGCTGCCATCTTTAAATAGGAATGTAATAAGAAATGTAATAACCGGAAGGTCACTATAACTTTGGAAAGTTATAAATAGCTATAAAACTCTCACAATGTTACTTTGCATCGCACTTTATCCCCTGAACTCATAATATGGTTAGAGTATTTTTGTTCTAAAACATCAAGTACGGGGACAAAATGCCTATTTAATGAGTTCAAATGCATAAAGTGCAACTGCAGATAAAATTGAGGAGAGTTAAGTGCATTTAACCCTAAATAAATATAATTAAATATAAAAACGAGAAAGAAACTACTTTATATTGACTTTAATGATTAGCTTGATTTTTTTTTTTTGTCGAAACGATAAGATGATTTCATTGCATTCATGGTAAAAAATTACAAGTGCGAGCAACGGCTCGATCGGAACTCTACAAACTAGTGTTCAAAGACACTGAGGAAGCTGTCGCTCCTCATCCACAATAATGCTTAAAGCATCAACACTCAGTGTTTTACTGACTATCATATTTTCTTCCCTATCCAAAACAAAAGAGCACATGCAAAACAATCTCTGTAACTGAGAGATGTCTTCAAGTACTGTTGCCATTTTGCTGTTCGCTGGGCTGTGATATTTTAATTGTCTCCACAGTTCCTTGTTACAAAATCTCAGCTTAAGATTGCTCCACTTGCGTTGTACAGCTTTACACAACACCAGCTTCAGTGCCAAAGCTTCATCTAGGATTTTGTTTCCAGAACTAATGTCTTTCAGTGCCCACCCTATCATCGTGTTACTTGCAAAAAGCTGAACTGTGACTCCAATTCCCACAAACAACTGCCCTTGCTTCGTGGATGTAGTCACCTCCATTAGCACTTCTCCTTCATTTCCATAATTCTGATTCTGAGCATCTTGCCTAGGGACTGTTTCATCTGTGCTCTCTCCTTTCTCTTTGTACTCTATTTGCTGCTGCTCTAACCATTCCGAATGAGCTTTCCTTATAGATTTGAAGGGGGGATCAAAGGTAGCGTTCTCGAATTCTCTTTTGTTTCTTTCTTTCCACACCTGCCACAGGATGTTTGCAGTTAATCCAATGTGTTCCATCCCTTCTGACCTGTGCCTTGCTTCAGAGATTCTTAGCCACCACCTTTTGAAATCTCCCTGTTGCTCCTTTGCTCCATCCCACTAAATGGGAGATGCCTTCCATATGCTTTCCGTGTGGGGGCAATTCAGCAGAAGATGTTCGACTGTTTCCTGTGCTGATCCACACATCTTACATATCGGATCACCCACCCCCGTTCGTCTATTTACTGCTGCTTTCACAGGCAGGGCACCTTGAATGCATTTCCAGATGAAAAATTTGATTTTATGTTTGATGTTTAAACTCCACAGTGTATTCCACATCTGAGCTAACTCCGAATCACTTGCTGTATAGCTAGAGCTAGCTCCTTCCTGCCTGCGCCTGCCTCTCTTTCTGTGTTGCTTCATCAGAAATTTATAACCAGAATTGACAGTGTACATCCCTCCCACCTTTGGTTGCCAATAAAAGCTATCTTCCCTATCAGCTAGACTCAGAGGAATAGCTAAATTTTTTTGTGCATCATTGCTATTGAAGAATCTGAATATGATGTTTCTGTTCCACCTATGCTGACTAATAAGCTCCTCCACTTTTTCCAGCTCACAATGATTCCCTCGACTAGTAGTTGGCTTCCCTGTATCAGTGTCTGGGATCCACTTGTGGCTCCATATATTTGTACTCCTTCCATTTCCTATCCTTCTTATTATTCCAACATTGATTAAACTTCTTGCCCCCATGAGTCCTTGCCAAATCCAGGATGCATTTCTGGGGAGGCTACGCAGTAGTATCGATTCCTGAGGAGAATATCTGGATTTCAACACCTTACTAACCAACAGATTTGGTTTAGTAAGTATCCTCCAAACTTGCTTTCCTAACAGTGCTTGATTGAAAGCTTCAATATCCTTAAAGCCTAGACCTTCTGCACTTTTTGCCATTGCCATTTTTTCCCAAGACAGCCAGTGCATTTTGTTCTTACCATTAGCTTCACCCCACCAGAAGTTGGCCATCAATGCACATATATCTTTACACAATCTTTTGGACAGCTTAAAACAAGACATCACGTATGTGGGCATTGCCATAACAACTACTTTCAGCAACACTTCCTTACCTGCTGGACTCAATAGTTTGTTTTCCCAATTCTGACATCTTTTCCTTATATTATCTCTCACAAAACCAAAGATCTGCTCTTTAGATCTTGATACTACCATAGGGAGTCCCAGGTATTTGCCTTGCTTAGCCTCTGCCATTCCTCCTAATGCCAGGCATATCTCCTTCTTCTGCTCATCGTCCATATTTTTACTAAAAAACACTGCTGATTTGTCCAGGTTGACTAACTGTCCCGAGGCATTTTCATATGTTTTTCAGCACCTTCATAATTTCCACAGCCTCATTCTTATTAGCCTTACAAAATATGATAGAGTCATCCGCAAAGAACAGATGTGTTAGCACTGGACCAAGTCTGCTAATTTTGAGTCCCTGGATCCTTTTGCTTTCCTCAGCCCTTCTTAGCAAATTGGAGAAGCCCTCTGAACATATTAGAAACAGATATGGAGACAAAGGGTCTCCCTGCCTTATCCCTCTTTCTGGTGTCACAAAACCTTTAACCTCACCATTACAGTTGAAAGAGTAACTCACTGTCTTCAAACAGTTATGAATCCAGTTAATCCATTTAGAGCAGAAACCCATCTTTTCCATCATTTTCAACAAGCATTGCCACTCCACCCTATCATAAGCCTTTGCCATGTCCAATTTGATAGCCATGTATCCCTCTTTCCCTTGTCTTTTATTTTTAAGAAAATGCATGTACTCATGAGCAATGATCACATTATCTAGAATCTGTCTTTCTGGGATGAAAGCAGATTGAGTTTTGCTAATGCACAGGTCCAGGACAGATTTCAGTCTATTTGCCAAAATTTTTTATATGATTTTATATAGCACACTACATAGACTGATAGGCCTGAAATTTTTCAGATTGGTTGGGTGCAGAATTTTGGGAATAAGGGATATAACAGTGTGGTTGACTGATTTGAGCATGTGGCCTGAGTGAAAAAAAGCTTTAATAGCTATAATGATGTCACTTTTAATAGTATTCCAGAATTTCTGAAAAAACAAAGGAGTCATTCCATCTTGTCCAGGGGCTTTTTCTGGATTCATAGAGAACAAAGCATCATGAATTTCTTCCTCCATAACTTCCTTGGTTAACTTATCATTCATCTCCTGAGTAATATAGTGTGGAATTCCCTCTAAGATTTCTGTCATTTCATCCTTCCCACCACTCGTAAACAGGTCCTTAAAGTACTCAGAAAGTTCAGTCACTACCTCCTCTTCATTCGCAGTCCAAGATCCATCATCTCTTTGTAACCTGTTCAATCTATTACTCACACACCTCCCCTTGACAAAAGAGTGAAAATATCTAGTATTTTTATCCCCTGCTCTCAGCCAGCTGATTCTGGACTTCTGGCTCCAGAAAGCTTCTTCCTCCTTGTAAGCATTAGCCAGCTGTCTTTTGAGATCCTGGCATTTCTCTTTTTTGTTAGCTAAACCAGCATTCCTAGTCTTCTCAAGATCCTGCTTAAGGCCGTCAATCTTACTCCTAGAGTTAGTCTGGGCATTATTTCTCCACTTCAAGAGTTCAATTTTGCAATTCCTAATCTTTCTCGTCACTTTGAACAATTTTGAGCCCTGTTCATCCCTACCCCAGGCTTGCTCCACTACTTGCTGGATCCCCTCTTTTTGGAGCCATCTCTTGTCAAAGTAAAACCTCTTTTTTTTCCTTTCTATCCCTGGATTGGTGCCTAACAAAAGCAACGAGTGGTCAGACGCTAGAGTCTCAATGTGGTGACACTTAGCACTCTCAAAATCTTGAAACCAATCCATACTACCCAAAACTCTATCTAGCCTTTGACGAATCTCCCCTTCATTGTCCCAGTGATTGCTCCATGTCCAAGGGTGGCCTTCAAAACCAATATCAACTAGTCTGTTCAGCTCAATGAAATGTCTAAAGTCCCTAAAACTTCTCTCCTCCCTAAACACACCCTCTCACTTTTCTTCATTGGACAAAATGTCATTAAAATCCCCAGAGATCAGGTATTTAGATCCCCACAACCTATTTCTATCCGTAAGCACTCTCCATTGTTCCTTCCTGATCCATTTATCACAACTAGCATACACTCCAATGAACCACCATGCCGCCTGAGATTCATTACCTTCAATCTTAGCTTCTATAGTAAAAGCAGTAGTGACCACCTCTACAATTTGTGTATCCTTAGTCCAAAGTAAGGCCATCCCCCCTGTTCTATTCATAGCTTCCACGGTCACATTGTTGTCTAGCCTTAACCTTCTAGCTATTCTATCTATGACCGTCTTCCTGTTCTTAGTTTCACTTAGAAAATAAATGTTTGGAGAGGATAGGTGATTAACCTCCCTCAGCTGGGGAACTGTCAAGGGACTCCCCACCCCTTGGCAGTTCCACACCACTACTCTCATTTACACCTGGAGGTCCCATTAAGGAAGGACCTCTCCTCCTTTTCCTTATCCCCCTCAAAATACAGCTCCTCCAACTGTTTGGTTTTTTTCCACTGACACATATCCTGATATGCTTCCTCCATCACTTCATCTCTAAGCAGGATCTTCCTTTTCCCCACGTTCACCTGAGGATTTGCATTACCCTGAATCATCTGCAAAGGTCTTCTGGTTCTAACTGGAGTCTTTAACTTTCTAAAAGTTCTCCTGGTCTGTCTGTCCAGTAACCCCACCATCTTATTTTCGCCTTGGGTTTCCTGGTGACACACTACGAGCTCTGACTCTTTCTCTAAGACTCTTGACTCCTGGATTTGGTTGTGCACTACTTCAACTACATCCTCCTCCATCTCTTCCTCTACATGAGAAAGCTGGAGGTCTTCCCCTTCTTGATTAATCTGAGGCAGCTCTAAGTCCTCCTTGTCACCTATCACCTGACCCTCTACTCTATTATGAGAGACTACCTTAAGAGCCTCCTGTTGAGTAGAAGGCCCCACAACCCCCTCCATACTATGATCCTCCCCTACTCTTTCACCTTCCTGGTTACTACACCCACCACTGCCAGTGGCCTTGAGGACCTCCAGCAGACTCTGATTGCTATGCCTTTTAATTTTCTCCTGTTCGACCAACTCCCCATTCCTAAAGGACCAGTAACGTCTATCACTATGTTCAGAGACTCTAGCATTTTTTTTCTAAGGGGAGGACCCTGACATTTCCGGCTCTCATCCAGGGACCATACTGATTCTCATCAGTATTCCCTCCTAGCAATCTCCTATCTTTGCAAGACCTTTCACTATGTCCCACAATTCCGCAATTATAACAGAAATCAGGACACCTTTCGTATTTGAAGGCTATCCATTTGCCAGTTCCTACTATTCTGACCACAGTACCTCTAAGAAGAGGTTTAGATAGATCAGCCATGACTAAGACCTTCAGATGCCTACCCTCTTTGCCATCCACCTGAGGGATTACGACATCTCTAACTTCCTTAAACACTCCCCCTATCTTTCTTCCAATCTCCTTAGACAACCAATGAACTGGCAGATTCCAGAGCTGCACCCAAAGAGGTGCCGTCACGAAAGCTTTATAGTCATCTTCAATGCCTTCCACCCATCTTTTAAGAACAAGCATCTGGTTATATATAACCCAAGGCCCTCCCTCCACTATTCTATCTTTATCTTCTGAGTTTTGTAAGTTAAACTGAAACACATTTGGTCCCAATTCCACCACTGACAAATTCCTGGGATACCCCCAGGCCACAGCCACAAAGTTTTTAATACCAGTGAAATTAATGACTTTTTCTCCTAAAACTCTCCCAATGATACTGTTTTCACAAGCTCTCACGCCAGTTTGAAAGTCTTCCCCCTCTAGCGTGAGTCCTACCAGCTCATTCCCTTCAAGGGAAAACTTCTGTAATATATCAGACAGCTCCCCCTCCATGGAAAGGCTCAGCAAATCTAAGATGGAAAAAAACACTCTACCCACAGGAGATAAAGACCAGGACCAAGCCGTAGAGAAGGAAAAGAGCACAGAAAAAACAAACGGAAATGCTAAGAAAGAGGATCGGGACAGAAAAAAGAGCCTGCTGAAATAACGGATCACAACAGGTAAAATATCATTGCTCACTTATACGCTTAAGAAGACAGGGAAAACAGAGCACTGACTCTCCTTGTCCAGACGATAGCTTATCATAGTTGAAGATTGCAACGCTTGAACTCCCTTCCTTCATGCACTGACTAGCTTCAAAGAGATGTAGCCACCCTTATCTTTGAATCTAACAATCTCTCGTTCAATTACTCCGGGAGTGCGGGAGTGCGGGAGAAAGCAAGTTTTGAAAGAGTTTGAAAAAAACTAACTTCCCACCAAAAAGGTGGGTGAGCTCTTATCCCAAGAGAGAGCACAGCTACTTTAGAGTGAGAAAGCCTCTACGTTAGAGAGAGGATCCGATTAGCTTGATTACTGATAATAAAATTTCACAATTCAACACTGCTAAGCAATTTATTGATAGTAAATTTAAATTTATCAAGTAAAAATCCTGGAAACATGGTAGTTTTGATTTTTGTTCGATTCACTAGTGAAAGGCATGACATCTGCTTTTCATGTAAACAGATAAGATACACGTGGCATGCGCAAGCAAACTATTTAGAAAATAGAAAGACGAAGGTTGGATTTCAATCTTCAATCAACTGGCTAGAGTTAGCAGAGAAAACGAAAGAAATGAAAACAGCAGAGCTGGTTTTCGTTCCTATTCCAGGGATTGGCCACTTAGTATCATGTGTTGAACTAGCAAAGCTTTTCATTGAATGCGATGAACGATTATCGATCACCGTCCTGATTATGAAGCTGCCCTTTGATCCAAAAGTCAGTAGCTACACAAATTCGTTGGTAGAAACTCCGAATTTGCACATAAGGTACCTTGAGCTCATGAAAGAAGAGCCTTCTTCTCAATTGTCATCTTTTCTTTCGATTCTGTTTCGATTTATTGACAACCATAAAAATTGTGTGAGGGAGGTTCTTGCTGAAATATCCAATTCTGTTTCGTCGCATCTTGGTGGGATCGTCATAGACATGTTTTGCACCTCTTTGATTGATGTAGCCAATGAATTTGGGGTTCCTTCCTATATATTTTGCCCAGGCGGCGCTGGAACGCTTGGCGTTTTATTCCAGTTGCAAAGTCTGAGAGATGATCTCAATGAAGATGTGAGCCATTACGAGAATTCAGACGATGAATTAGCTTTGCCTACTTACATCAATCCTGTTCCAGCTAAACTTTTGTCACCTGCATTTTTTGACAAGGATGGAGGTGGCGACATGCTCTTGTATCAGGTCAGAAGATTCAAGGAGACCAAGGGAATCATAGTTAACACTTTCCTTGAGCTAGAATCCCATTCGATTCAGGCCTTGAGTAATGATAAAACCATCCCACCAGTATATACAGTAGGGCCTGTATTGAATCTGAAGGGAAGCAATAGTCAAAATCAAGAAACTGAGATGATTATGAAATGGCTAGATCTTCAGCCAGAATGTTCTGTTGTGTTCCTTTGCTTTGGTAGTGGAGGTAGTTTTGATGGTGACCAAGTGGAGGAAATTGCCCATGCACTCGAGCGCAGTGGATATCGATTCCTCTGGTCATTGAGAAGGCCTTCACCTAAAGAAAAATTTGAGTTTCCAAGTGAGTATGAGAACCTGGATGAAGTCTTGCCAGAAGGGTTCTTGCAGAGAACTGCAGCCGTTGGAAAAGTTATTGGATGGGCACCACAGGCGGCAGTTCTATCCCATCCTGCTGCGGGGGGCTTTGTTTCTCACTGTGGCTGGAACTCAATATTGGAAAGCGTTTGGTGCGGTGTGCCAGTGGCAACTTGGCCGCTTTATGCAGAGCAGCAGACGAATGCGTTCTTAATGGTGAAGGACTTGGCAACGGCAGTGGAGATCAAAATAGATTTCAGAAAAGATCTGCTACTGGGTGTGAGTAGTGAGACTTTGACTGCAAATGTGATTGAAAGAGGGATTAAACATCTGATGGATCCTGAGAATGAAATCAGAGAGAAGGTGAAGGAAATGAAGGAGAAGAGCAGGTTGGCTCCTAATGAAGGAGGATCATCCTATTCTTCCATGAAGTGCTTTCTTGAAGATGTAATAGATAGTATTCCATAATTGTTTGTCAGATCTGAATTGTTATAATGTATTGCATTATTGCTTCGTTTTCTTAAATACATAGCTGAAGATCAACCATTACTATATCCATTAACTCTGCTATAACTAATTTTACTTTGAAAGTCGATGCTTTTTTCTGTTTTTGCTTGTTAGGCTTTCTGCTGTTTTCCCTTTCGCACTCTGATTTGCTATTCTAATATTCTCCATGGTACTTTGTAGGTCAAATACAATCCGTGATTGTGAAATGGACTTACAATGTAGACTTACAATTCAGTTAATAGTAACAGTGAATAGCTAAACTTATTAATTAAACTTCGGAGTTGGTAAAAGTTTAGGGAGTATTATAGTGCTAAACCAAAAATGACAACTTGATTGTGGCATTGAGAGCAGAGTATGTCTTTCACAGCATTTAGTCACACGTAGTTGTGGTGCGTGCCATTCTAGTTGCAATAATTGGTGCATTCAATTAAAGCATAGTTTACTCTTATAATGCTTGAGAAGGTGGCACGGTTTTTCTTCGAGTGTACTGTATCATTGCAGGCTCTTACCTGATTAGTTTTCTTTTTCCTTGCGTCTTTTTTTTTTTTTTTGCATTTTGTGAATTTTGAACTCAATGAACACGGAAAGTCCTCAAAATTGACTAAAATACGGCAAATTCTCATATGCAACTTTGTAGGCAACAGGTTCAAAACTTCATTGGAATTAAATTGATTTACGACCATATAATAGGGAAGAAGTGTGATCCAAATTAGGAAAATATAGATGAAGAAAACAAAGTAGTTAGAAATGAAGTGACAGGCATTAGAGAAGCGACAATTAACTTATTTGATTTTTTTTTATTGCCAAATTCCATACACAGGGGAGCGATGCCAACCTTTAATTTTTATTAATCATAAAATAAAAATATAAAGTGTTTAAGAAGGGCCTGAAAAGACCTAGGAACATTTATGAAAACAAAAATTAGGAGTATTCCTCCCGTACAAGTTACAATTTATTTCTACACATGCAAAAATTCCCTACCATCTAAAATCAAGCGAGCCTTAACCACTGAAGGAAGTTGTTGAATGGAAGTAAAAAGCGAATCAGAATGAAGATGAAGCGTGGCAAGCCTAGCCGCCATGGAATTTAACATGACTAACTGACGCAGAAAGTGACTGCCAAAGCTCTCTAATTTGACGAAGAAAATTGCACAATGGCCATTTAGACATTGCCCCGAAACAATCAAACAAACAACAAAGAAGAATCAACCTTAACTTGTAAATTCTGGTCATTTCTTTCACCACACAATTGAAGACCAAATAATAATGCATGAA